TCAGATGCTGGGAATCCAGACAACTACTATGGCAGACGACTTCGGACTCGGTGCGTTCTACATAGTCCCCTTGAACACAATACCAAGTTGCGACAACGAGGTCAACCCACTGCTATAAGTCGAAAGGAGACTGCGACCATACCCGAGGCCACAACATCTTGGTCTTCACAACTTGCAAACTACGACTTAAATAGACAATTAAGCTCGATTGAGGCCCTAATAGCTTTAAATAAGTTGCTGGGCCCCACCAGACGTGGGCCTCGACGGCAAGGAGGCCTATGGCGTAATTGTAAGCTGATATCATGTTGTGTTTTTAGTGTGTGGCGAGAAGATCCATTCGTGGTTCAGCCATAGAACGAGGGGTTAATTCATCTTGGTCTGCTGTAGGTTGATTATGGAGGCACAATGCTTTTGACGATACCCTCGAGACAATCTCTTTGGGGTCCGGTAGAAAAAACGCTGGGCTAGGAAGGCGTAATCCGATCTGGAACCCATTCTTGTAACTTCTTCCTGCTCACCCTGATTTAGGAAATGTAACCGATCTAGCATTGCATACTCAAATGAAAAAAATGCTTCAAATGTGAATAAGGTGGTGGCAAATTCACTTTCAATTGCATATCTTCCAGGTTTCTTGACTTCCAGGCTTTAAGTCCATATAAGAATAAGTTCAAGATTTGATGATATCTGTCGAGTTGAGGACGGGCAAAGACTGAGCAATTATTCATCAGAATCAATGGAGGAAGTCTTTAGGATTGAGTGGGCATAGGAGTCCTGAATTAAATCGAACGTCACCATACTAGGTGAAATCCACAGCCATCTTGTGGCAGGATCCAACTATGAACCTCTTATTCATACACTTTAATGCAAAGTGAAAATCAGCTTGACAATAATAATTCAGTAGGTTAAACTGAAACTAGTCACTATTCATCTTTAGAAGAAGCCGATAGATGTATTCGTATGAGTATTTTTTATTGTAGCCAAGATTAAATGATTTAGCCAACAGTTCAGAGTCCTTTTAGTTTTCCAATAAGTCCTCATTACCATTGGATTACTAGTTACTGTAAACTGGAGTAAATCGCTAGTTTGTTGCCTAGTTTCTTCTCATAAGCTAACTTGGTATATATGTTAGGTAAATTGCATAAATACCCAAATGAATATAATAAGAAAATAAAATTATTTAAAAATTATAGTTTAAGGTTTGAGCTACTACCTGAAAGTCTGGATTTGAGTGAATCTTGACACCGTCCTTAAACCAAGAGACAATCGGTTCTGGAACTCCACCAAATTGGCAGTCCAGGCAGACTTCTCCACCTTCCGGCACAGACGTTTGAGGTTGCAAGCGTTGAGTGACTATAGGAGGCAAAGCCATGGGTTCTTCCGAGGTAAAGATGGCTGCGAAACAAAAATAAAGTGTATATATTTATTGCATTGATTGGTATTACAGATAGAAATAGGAAAGACGCGGTCGAGACTAAAGCTATTTGGCTAACAATAGACGTGTTTGATAATATACGTGATCCTTGAATCACGATTATTGTTAGCCAACTCGTTCTAGTTTCCACTGCTTCTATCCTCTTTATATCTCTAATATTAAGTCTATGACTTGTCATGCCATAGTCTCTTGTGTGTCAACCCACAAACGTTGTGGTTCAACATTGAACATAATTAAGAAAGCAGTACCACAACATTTGTGGGTTGGCACACAAGAGACCAGGGCATGGGAGGTCATAGACTTGGCATTAGGGATAGATATGAGATGTATTCATCCTATTTCGTCCAAGGTGATGAAGGACTGGTAGTAGAATTTTCCCCCAATGATATGAGTTGAGCTGACGTTTCCATTGAATT